ATGTAAAAAGTAAAATTTACTTAAATTTAGAATCAATTTACACATTAATTAATGAGTGACTCACAGGAGTGGCTTTAGAAAAATCCGATAATTGCCTCATCACAACTTGTATACCAAATTTCGCAGCATTTCCAAGTCTTCTTGCCCAGGTAAGCGCTCCTAAATATTGATATTTGCACTCTTCTGGTTTTGATTCCGCTATATATAATATTACATAGAGAATTATCATTATTACTAATAAATATAATTTATGCATATAAATACACAATATAAAAATATGTATTTAAATTTTTGCTCTAAAAGTTATTACTTTATTCATAATTTTATAATACTCTTACCAATCCATAGTGGTTTCTTTCCTACTGTACGATTGATAATTTTATCTATTTCATTCTTTTCAGCAATCATGTTATCATATTGTATAGAAACACTATCATTGCTTAAAGATACACTAGCCAAATCACTGAAAATATTAGTTGAAAATTTTAATTATCAAGTAATAATCAAAATAATAATCTTATAAAATAATAATCTTCATATACATTTTTATCAAAATATATGTTATTGTTTTATCTTAATTAAAGTAGAATATAATCACAAATTTATATATTATACATATTATATTATACTATATTATAGTTTTAAACACTTAAGAATCATATAAGAAAGAAATAAACATTCCTTTTTTCATGATTTACTGAATATAATTTTTTTCAGATTAAATTTTTATATAATTAACATTGATACGAAATACTTACGGATGCCATGTAATCGCCGAAAGCGCAGCATTCGCTGAATGCAAGTAATCTTGAAGATATCTCTGTTCTTGCTCTGTTTTGTATGCCACAATATCTGGTCCTGTGAGTAAGCTGTTGGAATATCTTGGAAAAGTTTTCAACATTTCGCGTAAATTGGCGACGTATTGTCCTAATTCTCCTCCAGATAAATCACACCTCTTTTGACATTCTACAGAAGAAACATTTTAGAGTAATTTAAAATTATATAATATTTAAATATTTTAGAAATATAAGCAACTTAGAAATATATTTTTTTAAACAATTTGAAATTAAATATATATATATTTTCAAAATATTAAAGCATAATTTTGTAGAAAGTTTACCGTAGCCTAATTGCCAACTAATGTTATAACCCATGCGATCGCTGAAAGAAAGAAGCTCCACTATATTTTTAGAATCTGTGGAATGTGTTTTCGATTTGTTATCAATATACTGAGGAGTAATGCATGTGATTACATTTAATCCAGCCTTTTTTGCCCATTGATATATAAATATCCATTGCGTTCCTGTAGAATTTAAATATTGTTTCCAATTAAACCGTACGTGCATCTTTTTATGTAAAAAAGATTTTCATTAAAACATGAAATATTCTATAAATTATTTAACTTTTGGTTAATTTGCTCTTGCATCTTTTTATGCAGAATTAATCCAAAGAATTATCTTATAAAAATAGGTTTCTACTTATAATTTATATTTAATTAATTAAATAAAATTTAAATGATCAAGGGCATTAAATAATTAGAAACTTACAAATTAATAATCAAAAATAATTTTATGTTTGTAATAATTATTTAATATCTGCAAAGATATATATTTATTCGTATAATGCCAACTCTCTTCTATTTACGTGTAACACATTTTAAATTAGAAAGCGCAACTCATCGAGTATTTTATATACGTATACAGATCTTGTATACAATTTGAATTAATATGATTCGACAGCTGACTTGTTGCCAGCAAATGCAACAATCTAAATATTACATCGGCGAATATTAGCGTTTTCGCAACTCGTGATTGTACTATTATCTCAAAGCTTATACTGACGTTGCATTATAACATTTGCTGGGCGCTCTTGCCATCAAAGCTAATGGACGCGAGTATAACTACTGGCAACCGCAAAATAAATTAATGACATTAACATTATGCCATTGCATCATCGTCCTCATTCATTGACGTCGTCCTTGCTATCCTTTCAACGCGCTTACAGCGGTCAGGTCCATTACATGATCATGAAACTAGGAAATTACTGTACAAGTGACACGTATTGCTAACATAGGAATATCGTATGCATATATTGTTAATAACTAAAAGGTTTTCAATTTATTATTATTTATTCAAAAGGTTTCTATCATCGTTCTCCATTTTTAGCGTTACCTAATTATTTTAGATTTTACATGTGGTATATCTATGATAAAGCTGCGAGGTAAAGATGAAAACAAACTATCTGATAAATTTAATAGACTAATATTTGGTGGATCTAAATATTTCCTTTATATCCAATTATTTTCTTCTATATATGTACGATCTTTTTGCTGAAAATATCTTTCGCTTTTTCTATGATATATAAGAAAGAAAAGAAAGGAAGAAAGAATATTTTTAACGTTACATTACCAAAATGTACGTCATTTGTATTCGTATCAATTTCGTGCGAATATGTTCGCTCAAAGTTGTAAGAATTACTTTGTGCTCCCCCAAAGCGAACATAAGCAGGTGCCAAGCCTTGCGCCATATTTATACTTTTCTCAATGTTTTCGCTAGACAATCAATACACATCATGATAATATATATTTTTTTCTAACATAAACAAAATAAATTATAATTTTTCAATAATATTATATATTTAAAATTTTTTAAATATATTTATATATATATATATTATAAATATATTTAAATATATATATATATATATATATATACTATATTTTAAATTTTTATTTATAAATCTTTAATAAAAAGATTGTAATTTATAATTAAAGTTTTATAAAATTATCAACATAGTAACTGTATAGAATGTAATTGATACAACAATTCAATTCTTGAAAAATATGAAAAACGAAGTTATATTTAATTAATATGTGATTAATATCTGTAAACTCTTTTTTTTCTAATACTTACATAAAAGCATTGTTATGTAGTATTGCCGGATCCAGAGTAAAGCTAAGAAATGCGGGATCGGTTACTGCAATCGGTTTCTTGAAGTTTATATTAAGTATCAGATCTTCCGCGAGACAATTTGCAATGAAAAAAGTTACTTGCAAAAGCAAGCAAAAACATTGCCAATAACATTTCATTTTTCCAGAAATATTGCTTTCCTTTAATTTTTACACTTTATTCTTCATATTATTTTATTCATAAAAGCAACTGACATTATTTTATCTTTTTTAAATCTCACATATTTTAGTGCAAAAAATATTTACAATGTAATAACAAAAAATACATATATTCACTTTTAATAAAAAATTACAAATACAGAAATGTAAAGGGAATAGAAATATTTGAAAATTTCAATATGTTCACGAAAGTTTCACACGTATGCTCGTAAAAAATCAATGCAGTAAGCTAAGACACTTTTTCATGCATACTGAAATTTCATATCCACTGGCCTCGAGTTCAATGTTCGAAACTGTGTCATAATTAAAATTGCTTAGTGCAAGTTTTGAAATTGGAATTTCGTTGCGTAAACAGAACCTGTAATGTGCATATACAGCAAAAATGATCGGTTATGTTTTGATGGAATTCTTATCTTTTTGACAATTTGATCTAATTAAAAAATCTTTTTTAAATTGTTAAAAAATTTTACAAAAATCGCTACTTTATTGATGTGTTTATTCGAATCTCAAATATATTAAACGTTGATCCTTCGAATCTTTTTTAATGATTCGTTTCAAAGAAAAAAAGAAACGAGTTCTTGAAGAAAAAAACTCAATTTTATTTTTTAATGTAAATAGGATTTTTTTCGGGAAGGTATTCAGTGAGATTGATAAAAAATAAAATACTTGGTTATTTTTGCTTTTTATTAATTTTCAACAAATATCTCGGATTAAGTCATCGCTAGAAAAAAAAACAAACACAAATTTTACTCGAGCAGTAAGCGTCTCCTCTACTGGAATACATTTTCGTCGAGACACCCTGTATATCCTGCGAGAGTGTATACTTGTGTGGGTGAATGTTGGGTGGTCACTTAATATCTAAGGTTTTTTTATATAATATATATAATATATATATATCTAACAACAATATAATATTATCATCATTCGCCTCTTTCTCTTTCTTTTTTTTTTACTTTGTTAATGTTACATAATACATAATTATATTCAACAATAAACTCGTTTGTATCATTCCTTTATCGAATAGGTTAGCCGCTACGCACTGCTACTTTATACAAGGGTTTTATTCCTCCGCCACTCATTATTTTTGCTTTGCTTCCTTTGTTCATGCAATCTTCCTGTTCTTTCATCAGCGTTCTTTTTTTCGTCTGCCGCAAAATAGTCCTCCGATTCAAGGATTCCAGAATCTCAGTTTTTCATAAATCAAAGAATATATATGAATGCTTAACAAGTCATAAAAAGGATAAATGATTTGACAATTAAATTCGTTTAGACAGAATTTATCCTAGTTTTCATACAACTCTGTTTCCGTCTAAATTGTTATTCTTTTTGAAATAAGATTATTTATTTTGACGGTTTCAGCGATGTTTTTTATTAGAACAATTATTAGAACAATTTTTCGATCAAAATGAAAAATTAACGCACGCATTTTCTTACTGCTTTCAATGCGCTCAGTTTAGAAAAAAGAATTATGTCTACAAATCTAATTGTCAAATCAAAATTGAACAAACTCTAGGAAAAATATAAATAATTTCAATGTTTACAGTTTCTCTTGAGACAAGATTGATGAATTAAAATTGTCTAAATAGCTAAGGATTTATATATTCCTTCGGATATAGGTTTTTTTATTTTATGATCAAAATTAATAATCGCTATTAGGACAAAAGTATCAGAAAAAAATGCAAAGATTTCTTAATATGAAATTTAGCAAAGCATTTTATGAATCGAAGAGTTTGTTCATAAGTTTTTCGAGAGCCCAGACAATCTTCAGATCATTCGCGACCTTCCATTCATTTTCCGAGCAAGCTTCGTGCGATTCTCGTTCACTCCTTCTTCATTAGATGCTAAATTTCCCAAACAATTTTATTCTAAATCGTTCTTAATTTAAAGACATCTCTTCGCAGATATCTGCCCATAAAAGAAAAATAAGCTTAGACTTATCTTCAGGTTATCTCGTAGATCTCTTACATTAAGATTACATTAAGATCCAAGCTTAATTCTTTTATCTTTGTCTCTCCAACTGATCCCTTAACTACGATACGTTTTGAAATGTTTGATGAGGGAATGGTTCCAGATCTGCGAAAAGTTGTCACCGAAATTTTCAAATTTTTCACTTTCAATCCTAAAATCTTAATTATTTCTGATAATAATAAATATA